TTGGTTAACATATACACCGGAATCAAATGGGAAATACTTGGGAAAGAAGAACATCTATTTGACTTTTTTTTCATCCAGACTGCAGAACATCGCAAGAAAAAATAGAACACGAGCCATTAATTAGGATTTCAATCTGTCAGTAGTTGTAACCAACTAGATTCTTTGATCTTGTTAGTTCTTGCAAATAATCGGATGGGTGAATTTGAAAAGACAAGCAGAAGGCAAGATTGTCTTTGATCTTGTTAGTTCTTGCAAATAATCGGATGGGTGAATTTGAAAAACCAAGAAGAAGGCAAGATTTTTTTTTTTTTTTTTTTTTAATTCAAAAAAAAGATGTTTTGGCTTTAACATCTTGTGTATTTACACAATCATTTCCATTTTCTACCCAATCTTCTCAGAAAGTAAACAACAGTTTCCAACTTTTAGAATCCTACTACAAATTTGAAGAAAACCTAAAGCAATCCAATTAATGAGTCAACTTTATTGTGTCCAAAAATGTTATGAATATTTAGGAGACAAGAAGAATCGGAAATTTAGGAGACATAATAGTATTAATAATATTATTAATATTAATGTTCCTCATTAGCTGGTATCATCAAAATCTTACATTTCTGTGAGATGATGTAAAGCTACTAGGTGAGTTGTCTTCTCCAGATAAGAACAAAGAATAGTTGTTATGTCTGGCTTCTTCCCTTGACAACAAAATTTGATCCTTTCCCCTGCATATGTTTCCTTGAAACAATGTGGAATCCTGTACACGAGCAGTCACATATAAACATTAGGCAAGGTTTGATAAAGAATTGTATTTACTACATTTTTCCTTAGAAACAAAAGTGCCGGGAGGAGCGACCAGTCGTAATTACCCCTAAGACGTGATTATGGGGGGCCCTACATGCTAAAGAATGTCCACATTGAGCCATAACTATTTACGTCGGAGAAAAACACGTCACCTTAAACCGATCAATGGCTAATGATTATTAAGTCGTTAGCTTGCAAATAGTCTCAAGCGCTTCCTATAGGAGTCAAACTTGAGACCTCTCATCCACCAAACCGCGTGGATTATTACATTCCTCTTAACAAAGCATCATTATCATCACATTTCTCCAGGAATTACAAAAGCATAGATAAAAATCATCAACACATTTCTCCATGAATTGGAAAAGCTTATATAAAAATGTAAAGGAAAAATTATTATATATAAAAAAGAAAAATACCAACCTTGGATGATGCAAGCTTAGAAGAGCTCAGAGGTTGATTTACGCATTCATCGAATTGTTCCACCTGATGCTGAGCCCAACCAGGAAGCCAAGCTAAATCCTACAATTACCAGATAATTAAGACATAATGAACACCAAACTAAGATTTTAATGTCCAGTTAAGACTTTGTAGAATATCAATCATTCTCATAAATCTTACAAAGATAAAACCCTAGAAACTAAAATTTTCTGGGGAATCGACAAGCATCAAGATTTCACTTTGTGCGCAAAATCTAAAATTAAAAAAAAAAGAAAAGAAAGAGAGAGTGTGTGTGTATCATTTTTCTTGATGTTTTCGTACGGTTTAGAAAGAGAAAGAGAGAATAATACCTCGGAGAATTGAGGAGGACGAAATGCTAGGGCATCTTCCATGGAAACGGGAGCTCGTGAAGTATTTTTTGGCGCCAACAAAGAAAAGGAGGGAAGGAATAAAAGAAATCCAGCAGAAATATAAAGGGGTTTCAAACCAAAACAAAAAAACAAAAAAACAGCAAAAAAAAAAAAGATATATAAAATTTTTACCATATATGCCACTAGACTTCTCGTAATTTAACACTTGGATAAATTTTATTTTTACCCTGAAACTTTAGTCTTTTTATCACTTTATCCCTTAAATTTTAAAAAGTAGTCTGTGCATTCCCTGAATTTGAAAACGTTATTCACTTTTCTCCTTTTGTTTATTTGACTAACAGATTTGATAACGTGACAATTATTATAGGGATAGTTTAATAAATTATTTATATAAATACCTTATAAAGTATGTATCATATTTTAAAATACTCTATGATCAATCAAAACACATCAAAATATCCCTAATTTATGAAAAACATAATAAAAGAACATATCAAAACACATCAAAATGTCCCTAATTTATCAAAAACATAATAAAAGAACAATTTTATTGATGTGGTTAAATTCTAATTAAATCAATAAAAGTGATTAAATATTAAAAAAATAAATATAAAAATACTTCACTTCAAAAAATTTAAAAATTAAATAAATGAACTTTTTTTTTTCAAAAAGCAAAACCCAAAAAAAAAAAGGAAGATTTTTTTTTGAAAAATCTTATTCTTCTTCAGCTTTTAAAATGCATATCAAAACACATTTTTTTCTTAAAGAGGAATTTTTTTTATTTTTGAATTGTCTTTTAGGTTTTTCAATTTTAGAAACCATCGACAAAGAAGAATTTAAAAAAAAAAATTGAACAAAATATATATCTTAGGAGTCATTTTTGTTTCTTGTCCGGAGAATTGTAGCACTAAACCCTTCCAATAGTTATATCTCTCTCTTCTTAGGCAACCTTCTCTCTCTTTTTTTTTTCCTTCTTCTACGGGCATGTGTAAAATCTTTAGTTTGAAAGCCAAAAAAAAAAGGAAAAAATAAAAAATAAAAAAAAGAAAAAGAATGGCATTCTTGTCAATAAATGTAAAAAAAGTGACTTGTTATTAAGTGAGTTTGTTTGAGAAAATGGAGATGATACATGTCCATAAACTAAGCAAACATCACATAAGATTATGTAAAAAAGTCTCTATTTAACATTCTTTAAAAAATCATAATCAGACTCATATATATATATTGACACAATTGATATAGTTGATAGTGAATTTATAAAATCACTCTTTAATAATATAATAACACTAATAAAAGTATGTAATTCTAGAAACATTATGTATTTGTCTTCTTCTTTGCTTCAATTCAGCTTCGGTCACTTTGTTTTCAGAGAGTAAATTGTCAAAAATAAAAATTTAGAGGCCAGATTGCAAATGTGGGATAAGCTCAGGACGCAAATGTAAAAAAGCCAATATTATATATGCGTGTGTGTATATATAGGGCTCGTTCATTTCACTGATTCGAGTTTTCAGTTTTAGGTTTTTACAGTAAAAAGTTCTCAGAAAATGTAACATTTAACTTTTTCTGCTACAGTGAAAAGCTCTCAGAAAATGTCACATCTCAACTCAAATTGAAAACTTGAATCCGCGAAGTGAACGAGGCCATATTCTCTCCACGGCCATGTATATTCTCTTCTCTCCACTGCCGCTCATTCTCTTCACGGTGACCCTCTCTTTCTCTCAAAAGTCACCCACACCCGCGGCATACATCTATTCGGCAGCTCCATTTCAAACTTTCAGGTATTTCGGCAGATCCATTTTTTGTTTTGTTTTGTTTTTTTTTTTTTCGTTTTGATGATTTGATCTATCTTTGTGGTTTTTACTTCTTTTCGTGTTGATGATTTAATTTGTGTTTATGGTTTGGATTTATGAATTTTTGTTTATGGTTTGATATGTGGTTTAATCATTGTTTATAAGAAAATCACAGTGAATACAATGGTTGTAAAAGTGCGTGTTATGCTACTGTATTTATGTATATGAAGTTTGTGCAAGAGTTTTCATGTGTATCATACGCACAAGATCATCAAAAAGTGTATAGAAGTTTTTATTTTTATTTTTTATTTTGTTTTATTTAATGATGGTGAGGATGATCATCAGAGAGGTATGGCCGCAGAGCCTGAATTAGATTAGGAAAAAAAAAATTTTTGACAAAACCCAACCCCAAAGAGAGAAAGAAGGTCACAATCACAAGCAAGCATGGTACTTTCAACAAATTAATGTTTGAGATTCGATCACTTGCCGGGCCAATTAGTGTGAGGAACATTGCAATTAGTGTGAGGAACATTGCAATCTTGAGTCGATTGAGTCTCAAAGTATGGACGTTGACGTGAAAGAGATTGATGGATTGAGTTTTGATACCAAAACTAAAGGCGAGCAACTCCAGAAAAGAAGGAGAAAATTGACCTCAAAAGTTTGGAGTCACTTTAATCATCTTCCTCAATTATTAATCATGTGTGTTTATTTTTAAATTTGTGAGAGACTTTTATGTCTTTGTTTTAATTTTAAATTTATATTATGTAATGTCTCTACAACATGTTAAACAAGTTGAGAAACATGTTTTATCACTCATTTTATAAACATGTTCAAAAATAGGTTAATATGACAAATTTATCACTCATTTTATAAACGGGTTCAGAAATATGTTCAAAAATAGGTTAACACGACCAATTTATCACCCATTTAATAAACGGGTTGACAGGTAATCAATGGGTTGACACGACACGTTTATGACATGTTTAATAAACGGGTTAGTCGTGTCGTGTCGTGTCAACCCGCCAATATACAGGTCATGTTTGGGTTTTGTATTTCAACACGATTAATAAACGGGTCGTGTTGTGTCAGGCCTATTCGTGTCAACTGAGAGGGTCAACACGATACGAACACGACCCGTCAACACGAATTGTTACCCCTAATTTTCAGAGTGTAAATTGTCAAAAATAAAAATTTAGAGGCCAGATTGCAAATGTGGGATAAGCTCAGGACGCAAATGTTAAAAAGCCACTATTATATATGCGTGTGTGTGTGTGTATATATATATATATATATATATTATTGCTGTCATGGTTTGGCAATAGCTCAGCTCCTCACTTCAGCATCGTATTATCATGTAAGTTGGTAACAGGACAAACCCAAGAACTTCCTGAATTAATGTCATGTTCACTTCGTTGATTTAAATTTAAAATTTGAATTTTTTTACAGTAAAAAACTCTCACAAATAATCACATTTAACTTTTTTATTACAGTAAAAAACTCTCACATAAAATTACATCTCAACTCAAATTCTAAACTCGAATAAATAAAGTGAACGGGCCTAAAATTCTCTTTCTTTGTTTTCTACTTCAATTATAGGATAATATGCCCATTTGCGTGCTTTTAGCTTTTGGATATTGTTGGCTCTTTCATTTCTCTTCCGTTGATGTGTGCCCACCACATGTACGGTGAAAGTCCCAAATGAAAAACTTTAGATTTTGCTGCTTCGTTTACGTTCTCTCGTAATGGAATCATTAGTTTCTCGAAATAGGCCATTGTTTGCTTCTCTCCCATGGAAAGCTTCATTTTTCCCAGAATGTATCCCATGCCGTACCTTTTCTGGAATTTTATAGAACAATTTCGATAAATCTTTCAATTTCTCATTGCACTACTCTTTCAACATTATGTTTTCTTCTGTTTTTAGAGTATATTGAATGTACAGAAATGGCTATAACGAAGTTTGTCCAGAGGAAATGTGTTTTTTGCAGTTATATATTGTGGCGGAGCAGAAATGTTTTTCAGTGTGAGCACAATGCAAAAAATAAAGTAGTATTTTATTCAATGGGGACATGGTTATGCATTTCAATTAGTGAGTGGAGCATATTTATATATATATATGTGTGTGTGTGTGTATTTTTTTCCTCAAAAAATAGGACACAACGACATATTGACTGTTGAGTGAAGGCATAGTTATAATCTTTTTTATAAAACAACGACAATGTGACTCCGTCACGGGGCATTTACGTGCCCTCTCAAGACAATGTGACTCCGTCACGGGTTATAAATGCATACATCTTTTATGTAGTAAAACTTTTTATTTTCCCCCCGTGCAGTTGTGGTTTGTTTTGTCAACTTAGCTGTGTGATCTCTGAATGGGGAGCTGCACCGTGGGGCTCCAACGCCTGTCTATCTTATCTTTTCAAAATGTAGTTTCTCTACATAGACCCAATAAATCACTCCTAAAACTACATTCATTGTCTGCAATTACACCTGTTTCTGGCTTTCCAAAGATCAAGCCAAGCCAGATAATAAGGAGTTGCTCCACCAATTCATTTGCTGTTGCTGACGATGGAAAGTACAGCAACAAACAGGTTATTAGCATTACTCCGCGCCTTTACGATTACATCCTTGCCAACGTTCGAGAGCCTGAGGTAGTTGACTAACTACACACTCCCATGTTCTGTAGTGAAATTATCCAAAAGTTTCTTTATGTGGTTACCTTCTTTTTTTTTTTTTTTTGGTTCTCCTATGTTTTTCCTTCTTGTTGTGTGATTGTTAAACAGAGGCTGCTTTTCAGATTCTAAGGCAACTTAGGGAGGAGACTGCTTCTATGCGCGGTAGTCAGATGCAGGTGTGTGTCACAAATTTGTGCTTTTTACTTCCTCGCCTTTTAATATTAATTTGCATATTTATTCATACTTTTGAATATTTTTCAACAGCTGTTGATTCCCAAACAAAGAAATTAATTACCAATAACTATTCATCAATACACAAAGTTAGATTTTTATTCATTAGGTGTCTCCGGATCAGGCACAACTGCTTGCAATGCTTGTGCAAATTCTTGGTGCAGAACGGTGCATCGAAGTTGGTGTTTACACAGTATGTTTTTTACACTTGATCAACTTTCCTTTGCTTTCCTAGAAATTTAAAGCATGCCAAACACTATAGAAGTGCTTAGGACTTGCGTTGCGAAATGATGATTTGAATAATAGACTAAAATTTCCTATGATTCATTACCGACTTAGTTTTATTCAGATTGATATTCATTCTACTAGTTATTGTTATGAGACAAATGATGTCCAAGAATTCAAAGAAGTAGTTGAAATTCAAGGGACCGTTGAGTTGGAGAGACCTTTTGAAATTGAAGAAGTGAGAGTGTAAGACGAGCAATTTGAGCTGCAATATAGATAGATCCCCTGGAGCGGACGGTTTCATGTCGGCATTCTTTGAACATTGTTGCGAGCACGTGAAAGGAGTTTTAATTAAGGTCTTTGGGGAAATTAGCCATGAGTTATTTTTTCAGAAAAGGCAATAATATTAGCCAAGAGTGGGCTGCTCGGAGCGATGCATTTTCATCACATTTTACATCTTTGCATATTAGCCACATTTATTTTTCTCTTTTTTGTGTGAAAGATGGTTTATCGGTAAATATGGTAGGTAGCTTAACTTATTTCTAATTGATATATATTTCCTTTATTAGGGTTATTCATCATTGGCTGTTGCATTGGCCTTACCTGAGTCGGGTCTCTTAGTTGCCTGTGAAAGAGATGCCAAATCTCTTGAGGTAGCGGAAAAGTATTATGCTCGAGCCAATGTCTCCCACAAGGTATTATCCATTCTCCTTCACGCGCTATTATTCAATGCAAAGGATTAGCTTTCCCATTTCTTATTTCCTACATCATGTAGGTTTCCGTCCCACCAAAAATATGTGGGAAAGGGTAACACCTCATTTTTCCATTCCCATTCATTATAAGTAAACATGCCCTATATGATTATAATTTTCTATGATATGATTAAATGTTTGTGGTGCTCTCTCTCCAACTAAATACGTTATTGTCTTCAAAATGACTATATGGTTATAGGTGCATGTGAAACATGGACTTGCAGTTGATTCCCTTAAATCACTGATTTCAAATGGTGAAGCATGCAGGTAATTATAATGAGCAGTTCTAAGCATATGATATTTTCTCCAATGCGTCTTTGCCCCGTTTGTTTCTGTGAGAATGTTTATCCGTGTATTACCATCTCTTTTGGTTTCTGTCAGTATTCATGAATTTTCTGGAATAAGTAAGGAATCAGCGCTGCGGACTAACAGTTTTGACAAATTTTCGCCTTTCCGCAGCTATGATTTTGCGTTTGTTGACGCAGAGAAAAGGATGTATCAGGAGTATTTTGAGCTGCTATTACAACTGGTAAGAACAAAACTAAAGCTTCATGCTGGGATCAAAATAGATCTGCATGCATATTATATGGATCAAAATAGCATTCCTTTGTTATTTTGGATAGCCAATCTCTTACTATACTCTCACTCTAACAAGTCTTGCCATTGACAACACTATGTACCTGAAAGTTCTCTCTTACTCTTATCTTTTTCCCCTTTTTGTCCATCTCTTCATCCTTGATTTATATTCTAGTATTGCGTCATATTAAGGGGGGATAATACGAAAAACCTTCCTTGTGTTTCACCAAAATTTGTGTCTACTTGTGTTTTTAGGAGTGCTAGAAATATTCTCTGTTTATAACATAGCGGATATTCTACACTAAACCTCATGGTTTTAGGAATGTAAGGGATATGTATAGTATTCTTGGAAATATTGGGTGGAACATAGCATTTTGATAAATACAAGGGAGGTTTTGTTATTAACCTTGTTAGTTAAAGATTGCTTGGTTACTTATACTTAATTTCCGTTATTTCTTCTTTATATATATATAATTTTTTTTTTTGGGGGGGGGGATTCTTTTTTTAATTTTGACTTTCTTATCATTGCCTGGTTAGCTTTTCCATTTAATTTTCTTATTAGCTTTTTTTTCTTTTCTTTTCTTTTCTTTTGAGGATGTAGCTATTGGTTTGTTGATACAGGTGAGAGTTGGGGGTGTCATTGTGGTGGATAATGTTCTTTGGAATGGAAAAGTTGCTGATCCAATGGTAACTAAAATAACTATGAACTCTGAATATTTTCTAATTAAATTAAGCAAGGTTATGCTTTTCTTCTTTTTAACTTTTGCTTATATTTGAGCAGGTAAATGATGCCAAAACTGCCAGCATTAGGAGTTTCAATAAAAGCATAATGGAGGACCAGCGTGTAAGCATTAGTATGGTAAGGTTTTTTTTTTTTTTTTTTTTTTTTTTTAATAAAAAAAATGGAATTTTCTCTATTTTTAAAAATCTGTTGTGAACTCTTCCCAAGTTATTCCTTACCCTGAATTTCTCAGGTTCCTATTGGAGATGGCATAACGATCTGCAGAAAGAGATAACTCTTGTAATTGAAGATGATAATTAAGCTGCTAAAGCAACCAATTTTGCACCAATAATGTCAGACAGTAGAGAGGAAAGGAAGGAGATGATTTTCCTATTATTTTGTTTTGCAAGGATTCACTATCTAATCTCCAAATTTGGAGGGGTTAAAATTGGGATACTAAATAATTATAAGGGAGGAGATTTTTGATAGGTTTAAAAAAAATGAACTACGAACAGTTTATTATTTTCAGCCGTTATATCTATAACAAAAATTATTTGTTATGTTTACTTTGTCAATCTAATATGATTTTGACGACACTGACTCTACCAATAAGTTAGCCTACCGGAGAAGGGAGTCTAGATCTCCTGTCTCGTTAGTTGTTTCTCTACTAATTATTTACTATGTTATCTAAATTTTAAAAAAAATCTGACCACATAAATAAAAATACTAAAAATACTTAAACAAATTACAAGGTGTCAAATTTTAATTGGTGAGACAGTCATCAAAATAGGAAAATGTGACAGCAGATCTTAATTCCCGGAGAAGGTCCCTAATTATAGGCACCAAAATATTTTCGCCTAATTCATTCCCTCCTCATGTATTTTACCAAATAATTATAGGCACCAAAATCTTTACTGATCCCCTCAGCTCACTTCTCTCTCTCTTTTCACTCTCTTCTCCTACCAAACAAGCTCTAGAACTAGTTGTTTGGTTATAACCGCAAACTCACTCATTGCACATTAAGTGAATGTTTCGTTTGTGTATTTAAAATCATAATTTAAAACTATTCTCATTTTATGTGTATTTTTTGTAAAAAAAAAAAAACACTATAAAAAATCGTGAATCATAATTCAGAATCATGGATGAATATAATAAACAAACCTCCTCTAAAAGAATGAAAGATTAGTTCCATGATAAAAAAGAATTAAGTTCAGGTATGAGTGAATTTCAAAATTAGTTTGGTAAACACTTAATTTTGGAATTAAGTTTTAGAAAAACAAAAAATTCCTATTGTATTGTTCACTAAACAAAATGAATTAGAATAAAAATAATTGGAATAAAATTAACCGTGGTTACAAAAATCTATTATATAACAATTTGTTTCGGGACTCATAATTGTTTGGTAGGAGATACAAGAAAAGTAAATAGATTGGATGAGAGGTTTCCTCAATTTTATCTCTAATAAGTAATACCAAATATCCTTAAAAAAATGTAATACCAAATAAAATAGAAATGTATTCTCATTCTTCTCCATTTCACACACCTTTATTAAAAAAAAATATATATATATATATATATAAATTTGATTTCTTGAGCGCGAGGTGAAAAATAAGGTCTCGTTCACTTCGCGGATTCGAATTTTCAATTCGAGTTGAGATGTGACATTTTGTGAGAATTTTTCACTGTAGTAGAAAAAATTAGATGTGACATTTTATGAAAGCTTTTTACTGTAGAAATCTAAAACTGAAAACTTAGTTGAGATGTGACATTTTGTGAGAATTTTTCACTGTAGTAGAAAAAATTAAATGTGACATTTTATGAAAGCTTTTTACTGTAGAAATCTAAAACTGAAAACTTGAATCTGTAAAATAAACGATACCTAAGTGTCCTTATCCACGAACTTAATTACTAATTTGTAGGTGGTATCATCCATTTAATTTCCAAAGCAAAAGTAGACACCATTGACATCCAATATATTTGGACATGGTTTACTGTGGGAAATTTTGATTAATATGTTTTCTTTTTTCTGCTAGGTATTCACATTTCTGACTCACAAACTTACAACCTGTTTTATTCTTTAATATTTAAGCCTCGTTGACTTCGCGAATTCGAGTTTTTAATTTGAGCTGAGATGTGATATTTTCTGAGAGCTTTTCACTGTAGTAGAAAAAATTGATGTGACATTTTCTGAAAGTTTTTTACTGTAAAAACTTAAAATTAAAAACTCAAATAAGTGAAATGAACGAGGCATTAAAAACTTCTGCTTCACTATTATAAAGATTCGTTTGGAATAGTTTGTATTTTTATTTTTAAGCAATAATTAAAGTTTTTTTAATTTGTGTTTAGATAATGCATAGAAAATAGTTTTTTTTTTTTAATTTTATAAGAATTTTTAAACATATTTGGTAAATAATTAAAAGCTCTTATTGTTACAAAAATTAATATTTGTCAGAAATATAAAATAAACAGGGAAAATTCAAAAAATTTGACAAACAGCTACGAATAAAAAAGAAAATCTTGTATCAGTCTTCCAGTCTCCCCCACGTACGACTGAACTCCTCTTCCAGTTCTCTCATCGATATTTTTCCGTACTCCGTAGTATTATACGGATATACGGATTACTCATACACTGACACTGTCTGTACGTACATATATACGCTTTTCGCAGTAGAGATTCCATTACAATATCATCTTCCTTCCAAGCCTCTCATCTTCTGCAATTCCTTTGAATTCCCCTCTAATGGCGGATCGCCGGCGGAGCTTTTTCAAGGAGGAAATCCTGACCTACGCTTATATCCTCCTCTACATCGCTCTCTCCAGCGGTCAAATCTTCTTCAACAAGGTATTTGCCTTTGTATATATATGTATGTATTTATATTAGATCTAGAATTGCCGCGGTTTTGATCTCACACGCTTGTGTTTTCGAACGGTTAGGGCTTCGTATCCGTTTGGGTCCCGAGAAAATGGGGATGAATTTCGTAGGAAATGGTTGGAATTAAAGAGTGAATGGATTCCATTTTGACCTGGGGAGTGTTCTATTGCGTATGTTTGGGAAAAAAAGGAGTTATGTATGTGTTTGTATGTATATATATGCGTGTGTATGTATATATATGTTTGCAAGAAGTAATTTTTAGGAATGGGTATGTTTTTGTTCTTTAAACGATGTTGCATTTCTGAAAAGATATCAAGTTCACAAGTCATATCATTTCTATTAAGTTGGTGTTTGTATGGTTTATGAATGATTGCGTTTTTTAATGAAAACAATTTCACTTCTTTCAAAAAGTATTTAAAATTGCAGGAGAATATATTTTCTGAAGCGTGTGAATGATCTAAATTCTGTCATTCTGTTCAAATGAAGCTTGAATAATTTTGCTAAAGTAAGGGAACAATAAGAGATTTAAGTATATAGCACAGAAGAATAAGTGGACTGAGAAATAGAATCTGGGCTTAACAGATCAGATACTGATACATCAAGTGATTTCAGATCACATAAGCCTTTTTCTACTACGGGGTCGGGTTTTTGGTGTTGGAAAGCAGAGTGTTTAGTCTTTCTCTACTTTGGGGTTCTTGGGGGTTTTCCTGAATGTATACACTTTTTTCCCCTTTCCAACCAACTTTTATGTTCTCTACAGCTTCCTTAGTTAATTTGCTGTGAACAGTACCCTTTTTTGTACATTTTATAGTAAAATGTCTAATGCGGTTGAAGGCAATGTGAGAAAAAAAAGCCTAACTATCAGATATCGATCCCTTTTCTTGACTTTGAATTATATTAAGGATTGTTACACAGATATGTCAACCTTAATTCTGTCAGACTGATGCAAGCGAAATAATAGCAAAAAGGAGTGTAAATTGTTACTGAGTCATGATTATGCGTATGATGGGCATGAAATGTCTTTTAAAGTTGTGCCACAGCAATTTCTGAAGTCCATACGTAACTTTAACTGATGAGCTTGTGTTTTAGCCCATTGGCTAGTTGGCTGCTGCTTGGTATATGTCCATAGACATTGTGTTGCATCGTTGTGCAGTCAGCAATTTTATCACATCTTGGTAAAAGGTGTCCCTTTCTTATGTTTGTGAGAATGAAGAGAAATCTTCTATATTGTTCGTCTTATTTCCACCTTAAGGCCTCGTTCGTTTCGTTAATTCGAGTTTAAAATTTGAATTGAGATGTAATTTTATGTGAGAGCTTTTTACTGTAACAAAAAAGTTAGATGTGACTATTTGTGAGAGCTTTTTACTGTAGTAAAACTCAAATTCTAAACTCAAATAAGCGAAACGAACGAGGCCTAAATCTTAATTGCTAGAAGGCACCATTTTCCAATAAAAGCTTTTAGAATTATCCTGAAACTAAAGGTGTGTAAGAACAGTTCTATGTGATTGAAGGCCTATATCTGTCCTTTTGTTTAATTTAATTTAATTTATTTTATTTAATAAGAAATGAGAAGCTATTATTAATTAGCTAGGAAAAAGTGTACAAAAGGGGGCAAAGAGTCCCCTGAAATTAAACAAAAACCATGAAACATGAAACAGAACCAAAGCCACCTTATACAGAAACCAAAAACCATGTTACTCTTACAGTTCATGTTTCGTATTATCATAATCCTTGTTATTATGGCCTTTCCCACTGAATTTGATGTCCTCCATATTGTGAAAGGGCGATTACAGAGCTGATATAGACTTATAGTTCGCAACTTCCTATTGTTTTTTAATTTCAAATAATTGTGAAATGCAGTGGGTTTTATCTTCAAAGGAAATAAACTTCCCTTATCCTCTTGGGTTGACACTTCTTCACATGGTCTTCTCCTCGGTCTTGTGTTTTCTTCTCACAAAAGTTTTTAAGGTATTCATCTGAGCAATTCATGATATGCTATCTTTTAGTTATTCTTTTTTGTGCAACTATTAATCTTTGTTGGCTACATATCTCACAGATTATGAAGGTTGAGGAAGGAATGACTCCAGAAATGTAAGTAAAGAGCTGACTACCTTTCTTGTATCTTATATTTTTGTTTCCATTTGTCATCCATGTGTCAAACCCTTTTATTAAGATCATAACAATCGTTCCCATGGATAAATTCAAATGTTCATATTGCTGAAGAGTCTCAAAGTTATCCATTCTTCTTAACTGAACTAATAAAGTTATATTGGGTTTGAATTGCTTTAGTTGGTTAACTTCAATGCGTCAGTGTCACTACAGGGTCTCTGTTCGTTAAATTGAGAAAGAACCAAATGGAAACTAGTGGTGTGTTTTTGGTTGTTTTGATTGATGGTGCTAAGGAAATGAAATTTAATATTAGTATGAAGTGCTAAAGCTACTAAAGTTATTTGGATAATCTTGCTGGTTGTCGGGAATTAATTCTTTAACATTGATTTGTGTTTCAGTAGGTTTGTTTCTCTTGGAAGAAATTACCGTATCAATTTTTTGCTTTTTTCTTATATCTTTCGTATTTAACAATATCCTGCATCTGACGAAAGTTCTATTATTCAGATATGCAACATCAGTTGTGCCAATTGGTGCGATGTTTGCTATGACTCTTTGGCTGGGAAATACTGCCTACCTATATATTTCCGTTGCATTTGCGCAAATGTTGAAGGCAATCAGTAAGTCTTGTTATTCCGATATTCTGGTCCCACTGTGGCTAAATACCTATATCTTGTAGAAGTTATCTCGTCTCAAGTCTCAACAGATTGAAATTATTTAATTTTTTGGTTTTTACGTTTCCTCCACCTTTAAATCTGAATCTCAAGGAATTCACAGTTCAGAACGCTACTGATGTCTGGTTTGGGGTTTGCCCTCATTGGTCAATGTCTATCTGTTTGTTAACTGGCAGCACTACCAGATTTATTATTTATTTATTTACTTATATTATTTGTGTGTGTGGGTTGGAATGTTCGGATTATAGCTTGGTAAATAGGTTCTGGATATTGTTTATTACTATTTGTTATGTTTATGAGTTTCTATATTTGATATCTTGCATGACATATCTCTGCAGTGCCTGTAGCCGTTTTCGTTCTTGGAGTAGCAGCTGGGCTTGAGGTAATGAGCTGCAGAATGCTATTGATCATGTCGGTGATAAGTTTCGGTGTTCTAGTGGCTTCTTATGGTGAGATAAATATCAACTGGATAGGAGTAGTTTACCAGATGGGAGGAGTGGTTGGAGAAGCTCTAAGACTTATTTTCATGGAGATTTTTGTCAAAAGAAAGGGACTCAAGCTAAACCCCATATCTGTCATGTACTATGTTAGTCCTTGCAGGTATACGTCATATGATCTTCTGCTTGTACGCACTCCTACCTTGGAATTATTTTCTTTCTTTCTATCCATGAATGAATGAATGTGTCTATCAACTAAATTGTTCTCTTATGCAGTGCAATTTGCCTATTCATTCCATGGATTTTTCTTGAGAAGCCAAAGATAGCCGATGGCTCATGGAATTTTCCGCCCGTGATCCTAGCACTCAATTCCATGTGTACTTTTGCACTTAACTTATCAGTTTTCCTTGTGATTACGCATACAAGCGCTTTGACCATTCGAGTAGCTGGAGTTGTCAAGGATTGGGTTGTTGTCTTATTGTCTGCCCTTTTGTTTGCTGATACCAAGCTGACGCTGATAAATCTCTTCGGCTATGCCATTGGTAAGCAATTGACAACTCCTGCTTTTCTGTATTTATGTAAAAGTTTATTTTACAATAAACATAATCTCAATGGAGAAAAAGAATAAAAGAAAAAACGTAGTAGTACTAGAAGCATCATTAAAGCTTAAAAAAGGCCTGTGAAATGGTATTTTAGTGACAAGAGCTATTTTAATTGATAATGCATATATTAGCACTTTTGATGCACACAAACACGTACACATCCCTGCCCTTTCTTTTTGGGGAAAGTTTACGAGTCTAGGCTAAAATCCAGGATTCTGTCTTATTTGCCTATATGGCAAAGTTCATAGACATGGAAATTGTATAATACCAATTTAAAGAAGTGTCTGAAGAAAATCTTAATTCATTTATTTGGATTATCAAACTTGGCTGACAGTACTCCAAAAACATGAGAATCATGCAACTTACTGTCCTCGCTTGATAATTTCTGGTTTGAGCTCTGGAATGGGGAAGTGTTGATCAAACAATAGTAGAATCATGCAACTTGATTTTCATCAACTAATTTATTATTATTTTTCTCTCTCTCTCCCGGTTGCAGCCATAGCAGGCGTAGCAGCATATAATAATCACAAGCTAAAAAAGGAAGCTTCTAAACACAGCTCTGATGACTCGGAAAATCCCGAGTCTGTACCAATGGTCACAACCTCAGGTTCCAACAAGTAGAAATACATTAATATCGGAATCTTCTTACTTATTTCCAAGGTATGTCTCAGACACATTGTTTAGAAAGTACAATGTTTTAGATCGCATTGATTATTTTCCCTTTCGTTTCAGTCTGAGTACCTCCGAAACTTCTTCAACCCCGCGATTTTGTTTAACACCCTGCAATTTGGATTTTGGCTTTTATGAAGCATCGATGTTTAAGACTCTTCATGTCCTTTTATTGATTGTTGTAGCTGCTCCTACGATGAGGCATTCTTGCAATGGCGCAAAGTACAGAGACGGGTCGAACTGTAGAGATAGGAGAGTTCCTCTATTTATCATTGCATAAAAAACTGAATTTTCAGAAGTCAATATCAATGATTTCTCTGTAAATTAAGCTCTCGGATCACAGTGTTAGTAATGTACTATCTTTGTTAATTAAAAAAATTTTGATAATTGTCGGTAGCAATGCTCAGGAGTACATGTTGCTGAGTATATGTTGGCTTTACATTATTATTTGAACGTAGAACTAGTATATGCAAAAATAAGACTTTCATTTGTCTCAGCAAATTATCTGTGCAGGGCAAGTGAGAACAACATTTTTATCCTTTTTTTTTTCAAAAATAAATAAAAAATAACTGTTCATGTTAAAAGTTTGGAAGATGGTTAATCGAGTTTTTTTTTATTTTTTTTATTTTTTTTACATATGCGGCAAAGTATAATGTAAAGGAATATGGGAACAAAAAAGAAAGTACATAAATTCCAATAAGCATTTAGATAAGTACCAGTAATTTATAGGAAAAAAATTCTCAAAAATGCTCTTGAATATTTAACATATCTGTTTGGGATTCAAATCACTTGTTTACTTTTTAATTTCTAAAATGCTTGTTAGATCTGATGTTACGTCTGATGTTTTAGATGATGTTGAAACACTGTCTGGAATACATCTTGATTAATTAAGATCCGGGTTTCTTACTATTCAGATTAATTACTAAGGAAAGACTGTAATGTAGAAAGTAAAATAAATGCACACGATATGATATCGCAGTTCGGTGCGCACACCTACTCTGCGGGGTCACGCCCAGACAATAAACAGTTTCACTATACTTTAAGAATTACAACACTGACAGACTTATTCACTTAATGACTCCCTCCTAAACTATGACGATGCTGTGATAAATTTCCACAGTGATTGTTTAGCGTGCACCACACGACTTCTATTCACCTGGTGAACTCCCTTCAACCGGCAGAACTTCCTCCCGAAAGCAACAAATCCCTCTCCTGAAGGACGATCTCAATAGCGCACTAGGCTCACCAAAACTCACATATTCTTTTATGAAAATATTCTATTAAACCCATACATTTCTCTAGCTGAAACCAAAGCTTTTAATAATATTTTCAGCAGATCACGAGAATCTAGTTTAAAAACTAAAGCACCGATTCTCTTATACTTTTTTTTCAAAATCTTCTCCAATATGATCTACACAAAGCACTCTGCATAGTCTTCTTTAGATTTGAATTTCAAATAATCGGATTCACCTTTTTGGACTTCAAATCCAAACCACTTTAGGAAATCAAATCTGAACAGCTTCTCTTGGCTAGCTCCACATCAATGCACGTCAAAACACCTCCATGCACAAATATATATATATATATATATATATATATATATATATCAAACTTTCACTTAAACACGTTTTCTTTAAACTTACTCCTTATCTCAATCTGCTATCCAAAACTTTCAAATACTCCAAGTTATTACTGTATCTCTTATCCTCATGAATAGCAATCAGATTATGCCACTAGAAATCAAATCTGAATATGCCTTTGAATTCAAATCTGAATCTTCCTTGGGTTGCAAGCAAATATCTTGTAGGCTATCTCCCATTCAAAATTGAACTCACCCTTTTTAATTCTTATCTCCACATATCACAACTCAACAAAATCTGCAACTTTAACTTCAAATCTGATTCGAAATCTTCTTATGCAATATGAAATCTTCTTGAACCTATTTTTTAAATTTTTACAAGATTGCTAATAAATTGCCAACTAATAAAAATACTTAACAATGGTGTTTAACCAACAGTATCATAACACATTATTTAAAAAATATGAAATGTTTTTCCATAATTTAGATTGTGTTTGGAGTTATTTTTGTTTTTGTTTTTCACTTTTTTCAAGAAATAAAAAATAAAAACGAAAGAGAAACGACGTTTGACAAAATTAAAGACAAAAAATGAAAATGAAAACGATTTTTTAGTTTAGTGTAAAATATGAGAGAAATAAAAAATGACTTTTAGTCGTTTTTTATTTTTTATTTATGTTTTCTTCTCTCTCGAGGAGAAAGAGACATTAATGGATTTAATTGATTTTTTTATACTAAAAATAATTTATTGATAAAACTACTAAATGCATTTTTAAAAATAATTGATGTGTAGATTGAAAACGTTTTCATTTCCATTTTCATATAAAAAATAAAATCATTTTAGAATGAGTTTTAAACGCACCCTTAATATTTGAGTTTATTTAATAAATGATTGGATAGATCTCGTTTGGTGTACCAGAAATTAGATATAGTTGATTTAAATCCTATGTTGTGGGATTTGAAAGGCTCCTAAGGATAATTTTTTTAAAGTATTAAAAAAATTAAATTAATAAGAAAAAAGGAAAAAAAACCACGTAAATTTAACTCTTAGGCTTATTTATTTTACAAGTTTAAATTTATAATTTGAGTTAAAAAGTGAATTTACGTGAAAAAAAAAGTTCAGTAAAATAAAGTACAAACCACCTTAAAGACTGTTGATAACTCTTAAGTTTGGAATTAGAATGAGGCGAAAGTGAGAGAGGAAAAAAAAAAAAAAAAAAACCCAAAACGCCATTTATTGCAACTACATGAAGAAGAAGACCAATTGATTTCGGTTTTTTCGTTAGTTTTTACTTTTTAGGGAAAAAAAAAATCACACGTATATGTACACACAAACTATTATTATTATTATTGAATTTATTTCAATAATAAAACCCAAATAATAAACAATTTCTCTGTTTCGACTTGCCATAATAAGGCGCTCAAAAGGAAGAACAAAGAAAGGAGGAGAGAGAGAGAGCGCGTCATGCGATTGAGGTGGCGGAGTCAGCGGCGGTCGGAGAGTGGAATCGGGGCGAAAACTGCGTCGTGCGATGCGGCGGTGGGGCGGCGTCGTTTTCGTTGTTGATGGGCGTTCAACAGCTGCAAATGAGTTGGCAGCCGAGTCTACTGAGTCAAAAGCGGAAGAACGGACCTCCTCTGGGGCTTAGAAATCTCGGCAATTCCTGCTACCTCAACAGCGTCCTCCAGTGCCTCACCTACACCCCTCCCCTCGCCAATTTCTGCCTCCGCAGACAGCATTCCTCTCTCTGTACGTTCTTCTTCTTATTCTTTCTCTTTAATATTCGTGCCCTAGGTCTAATTTTGATTCATTTTCGCCATTGCCGATCTGCGTTTGGTTCTTGTGATTCTCCGGCAACAAGCCTTGTTTTTCGTCTATTTTTTTTTTCTAATTTGTGTTCGTCATTGCTGATGTTCGTTTGGTTATTGCGATTCTCAGACGGAATGGCTTGTTTTTCTTCATTTTTCGTGCATTAGGTCTAAAAGTTTTTGAACTCTTTCTGCCATTGCTTATGTTCGTTTGATTTTTATGATTCTCAGACGGAAAGCCTGAAGTTTTATTTTTCCGTAATGTTTGTGCCCTAGGTTTGATAACTGATTTTTGAATTCATTCGCCATTCATGATGCTTGTTTGGTTGTTACTATTCGCAGGCGGCATGCCTTTTTTTTTTTTAATTCAATTTTTCTTGCTGTAAGTGTAATTTTTGACTTCATTTCGCCAATTCCGATGTTCGTTAGGTTGTTACAATTCTCAGGCAAAAAGCTTTTGTTTTTCCTCGTTTGGTCTAATGTTTCTCAATTTTCTTCTTTTTGTTTTGTTGATGTGATTCTTTCTTCAGGCGATTCGTCGGACGCTGACCGCAAGCGTGATTGCCCGTTCTGCCTTCTGGAGAAGAGGATAGCTAGGTCTTTGAGCTCGGATCTCCAGCAAGACGCACCAGCGAAGATTCAGAGCTGCCTGAGAATATTCTCCGAGCAGTTCAGAGGTGGGCGGCAGGAGGATGCACACGAGTTCCTGCGCTATGTCATCGACGCCTGCCACAACACCTGCCTGCGGCTCAAGAAGCTGCGGCGGATTGGAAATGGCAGCACCGGCGCTGGAAGTGGAGGTGGAGGAGCATCGGTGGTGAAGGAGATCTTTGGAGGTGCTTTGCAGAGCCAGGTGAAATGTCTTTCCTGTGGCACCGAGTCCAATAAGGTTGATGAGATAATGGATATTAGTCTTGATGTTTTGCATAGTAATTCGCTCAAAGACGCCTTGCAAAGGTTCTTTCAGCCTGAGGTTTTGGACGGAAGTAACAAGTACAAATGTGAAAGGTATCACCTTTTTTTTTTTTTGTTTTTCTTTTTTTTTTCCTTTTTTTTTTTTTGTTTTTCTTTCTTTCTTCCTTCTTTTGTTGTCATTTACTGATTGAGGTAGTTATGTTTGTGAATTGTGACAGTTGCAAGAAACTGGTACCAGCAAGGAAACAAATGTCTGTTCTTCAAGCACCAAATATCCTTGTGATCCAACTCAAGGTAGCTTTATCTAATTTTGGTTGACTTACTGTTTCCTTTTATTGCATTGTTATTCTACTGATTGCTTTCTCTCTTAGTAACGATATTATTTGTTTTTGGATTTCGTTCTTAGAGATTCGAGGGCATTTTTGGTGGGAAGATTGACAAGGCCGTTGCATTTGAAGAGGTTTTGGTGCTTTCAAGCTTCATGTGTAAAACAAGCAAGGTATGTTAATTGTTATCAATATGGTGTACTTGTGCTAGTCATTCTATCAACCTTGGAGTTAGTTTTTGAGAACTGTATAAGGGTTCTTCAATTTCAACTAAATATAAAGTTCATGTTAATTTATTTTCAGGAACCTTAAATTTGATTCTCTTGATAAATGGCCTAAAGAAAAGGAATGCTGTTTATGACCTTAATTTCCATGAAATTCAGATCACTTTAATCTTGTTGCTAGAAAAAGTATATGTAATCCCATTCTTTTTTTTTTCGTATTTAACTAGGGAATATCCTTAACTACAAACTGTTCTGACGAGCACTTAATGGCATCTACTTTACCACAAGGTTCTAAAAATCCCAATTAGAATGTGACGTGTTTTGGCATTTGTGGGGTGGGGCGTTAGCCTCAAAGAATAAAAAAATGATGATAATTGGAATGTAAGTCGTACTCATAATTAGCATAAAAAAACTTAAGCACGTCATATTAGGGTTTGGAGCGGGTTGTGTTTGTAGAAGTTTAGGGTATTGATGTTTGAACTCTCTCTCTCTCTCTCACACAATGATTTTCATCTTATGGCTCCTTCATCACTTAGGGCCTAAAATAAGTAAAATTCGTTATAAAATAAAGTCTCAGCCCATCCAAGTTGGCCAAATTCTGATACATTTTTCATTTAAAAATGAAGCCTTTTGAGGTGTAAGGTCTTGATAAGACTTAAACCACAAACTCGGTCCGAGCTCACTCTCCAGGATTGGGACAGATTTGTTGTTGAAGCCTTTTGAGTTGGAGGCAATTAAGAAAGAGGTCCTCAGTTGCATTGGAAACAAGGCACCTGGCTTCATGGGTTCTTTTTGGGATTTTTCTAAAATCCTTTGGACAAGGACATCATGAAATTTTTTTAATAGTTTTGGAGATCTAGAGTGAACAATGGTCACTAACGAAAGATACTCCCAAAAGGGACAACTCTTGCAAGGGCGGTGATTTTGGGCCTATAAGTTTAGTTACGAGTCTATATAGGCCTCGTTCATTTCACCGATTCGAGTTTTTAATTTTAGGTTTCTACAGTAAAAAGCTCTTAGAAAATGTCACATCTAACTTTTTCTGCTACAGTGAAAAGTTATCAGAAGATGTCATATCTCAGCTCGAATTGAAAACTCGAATCCGCGAAGTGAACGAGGCCATAATGATTTCTAACTTGCTATCAGTTATGAAAAAGATTGGAAGCCTTTTGCGTTGTTGAAGCCTTTTGAGTTGGAGGCAATTAAGAAAGAGGTCCTCAGTTGCAATGAAAATGATTGGAAGATGTTCTTGAGGAGACAATTTTGGCAGTCCAAGGTGCTTTTATTGTGGGAAGATAGATTTTGGATTTGGTTCTTACATCGAAGGAGGTAGTGGAGGATTGTTGTTCTTCAGGTAAGGAAAGAATAATAGTCAATAACTTAAAATCAACTTGAGCAGGCCTACGATTGAGTGGAGTGGAATTTTCTTGATATTGTGTTGGAAGAATTGGATCTTCATATGTACGTCATATGTGTCATTTTCGGTGACGATCAACGGAAGACCAAGGGGAAATTTTGCAGGTTCTTGGGTTTGAGGCAAGGGGACCAACTGTCACCTTATCTTTTTACATTGGAAAGAGGTAGGTTAAGCAGAATGGTAGATAGGCAGTAAAACAATTTTTGTTCAGATCACTTAACTTGGGAAGATCTACTATTCAAATTTCTTGGTTGTAGTTTGCGGATGACACTATTTTCTAGGTTATCAGAAGCACACATCTTGTCAAATCTAACGAGCGTTTGATAGTCCCCATGGCTATCTAGCACTAAATTGGTTGTTGCTAGATGGGATTCGATGAACCACGGCATTCCCTTAGACGACCTATCTAAGATTAGGTCGAGATCCTCAATAGTGGTGACCCTCTCACTCTTCCACAGATTGAGACATGTATCGAATGCTCATACGGGAAAGTTGACTCTTGAGATTGGAACCCAAGAGGTAATGTTAATGTGGCGATTTCCCTTCCTTCTTTGCAATTAGTTTTGCTAAATCACTTGCTGCTCTAGCTAATTGCCCCTTTTTGGACAAGAGAGGTTTGATGGTTTAGAATCCATTGTATTGATTCCACTTTTTACTTGTTACATGCTCTTTATGGTCTCGGCTTATGATTCAATTGCCATGTATTTACCTATTGAACCTCATGGCGCCCCAGACTCTTGTCATCCATCAGCTTCATCTCCTTGCGCGTGAGAGACTTCTATGGCAGCTGTTATTCTCGTCTTTGTTATGAAAGAATTCATTTCGGCACCCGGTCACAACGCTAACCATGTCATCCTTAACCTTTCGGAGTTGGTGGGGAACTTTCTTGATCGTATCATTCTTCAACCATGAGTTAAGATGTTGCTAAAGTATCTCCTAAGGTTTTTTGAGGTTTAGCATAAATTATGATGTGTCGCTCAAGGTCTCTTGAGCATCCTATTTTACCAATATCTATAATTGGTTTCTTAGTCAAGTGGATCTGATTCTTTCTTATCTATAGATAATGCAAGAGAGAACAAACCAAGTCAAGGGTCGTTGCTAGCAAAACAGAATACACCTGCAGCTGGGCTATATAATCTTAGAGGTCATGCTTCAAGTCCACGGTGACTCAAGAGCCAATCTTGTCCTTGACATGCTGAAAGAAAGAGAGACATGGTTTTCTTTATTTCCACTCTAACCTAAGGTTTGAAGGTGGTGAACATGGATAAAAGCATTATCTTGGGAATGAATTTGGAAGAAGATAGATTGTGCATGTTGGCTGAGGTAGTGGGATGTTTTGTGAGAGTTGCTTGTGTTTAGGGTTGCCACTAGGAGGAAATCCTTTGTATGCCGAATTTTGGGAGCTAGTTTCGTCCAAAATAGCCAAGAGGCTAGATAGATGGAGGAACGTGTACTTGTCAAAGGGAGGGTGGCTAACTCTTATTCAATTGATTTATCTTCCTTGCTTGCTTGTTACCACCATATTTAGAGTTCCTAAGGTAGTCATTGGGAGAGATGGCTAGTGTTTGGTGAACGCGATTCATTTAGTGGCCTGGGAAAAGCGGAAAGGAGGCTTGGGTATAGGCAGTATCATGAAAAGGAACAATGCATTGTTAAGCTAATGGCTTTGGAGGTTTTTGGTGAAGGAGTCAATGTGGCATAAGGTCATAAAAAGATAGATATGGTTTAATCTAAATAAATGGGATTTGGGGTCGGTTAAGTACCGACTGATGATCTTAGTTGATGGGGAGGGAGATTGAGGAGATTTCAGTGTTGATCTCGTCTTTGGAGGGTATTCCTCCAAGGACAGAGATTTCAGTGTTGCAAGAAAAGATCCGTGGGATTTTTCTGAGGATAAAGAGGAAGAATGTGCCATAATTTGGGGTAGATTTAAGTTTCGAGAAGTCTTGTAAAGGCAAGGAGTTTTGTCTCAGTTCAAACAAAAAAAAAAAGACGGAGTTTTGTAGGGGTATTTTTTTTTTGGGTGACATTGTTAGGAGTTGGGGCCTTTTTCGGCAACCTATTCCGAGTTGTCTTTGTGGATAACTCTTCCTCGTCTCCTTTGTATATAAATTTTTATCATTCATACAATTTCTTGTTTCAGAGAGAAGAGAAATAAAAGGAGAAATTGAACAAAGAATAGAACTTTATTGATGAAGGAATTGAAAGATTACAAAGACAATCGTCATAATGGTGGTATTCGAGAGACCACTAGCTCTCCCAATGGTTTCCTCAAATTCCCTCTAATTAGCCCATCCCTCATTAGCTTCTAAGTCTCTTATTTATATTATTAGTTCCTACTAACAAACTTTTAACTAACTGCTTAAGAGACTACTAACAAGCAACACTAACCAACCACATAACCAACTATCAACTTTCTAGGAGAACTGAGGCACACTTCTCATAGCATTATTCTTTTAGGCCTTCTGGCGTACCTTGCCTACGCCTTAGGTGTTTTTGAAAACATTACATTACCTATATACCGTCCTTTGCTTCAAATCTTGGGTTGGGACTTGGGATTAAAACTAGGCTTAGGCATATTACTTTGTTAGAGTAACTAGTAAGGATTAGGTATATTGATGCCAGCCCTAGAGAGAGAAGGGAGAACTAGAGAGGAATCTTAGGGACTTTAGTTATTATTCATCAAAGTATGAATTTAATGTTCTACATACCTATTTGCCATGATGAGAAGAGATTCTCCTATAAGCCAAGCAAAAATATCGAGGAAGTAAAGTAACAAAATAATTAATACTAAAATTATTATTTGTCTTCTATGCTTACTCAAAGTTTTCATTTCTTTCTTCTGATTGCTATGCATGGGATTAGTCGCTTCAATTGGATCTTTTATTTTGGTTGGAGGAGAAATACCAAACGTCTAGCATTCCCACACGCTTGGCAGCAATGGGTTTTTTATTTGATTTGAGAGAAAAAGAAGACTGTGCCTTTGCGATCCCTTTCGGTGCTAAGAGTGGGTTGATAACCCACAACATAAGGCATTCTACCCAATAAGGCGGATACTTCGGATCCAATTATCTTGAGCAATGATTCATACAAACTTGCTGTTGATGCATGTTGTAGGCGTCAAGAGTTTAGCAGAACTTTCTAACTCTCTAGCGCCTAGTTCTTCTCCACCGGGGAGAATTGATGGCAATTAGAAGGTGGAAATAAAAACTTATAGTAGACGTAGAAGCAATGTTTAAAAAGGCTAATTCAGGAACCGTTAGCCGCCAATGATAATAAAAAAATCATTAATCATAAATGAACAATGCTATAAGACACTAGTGTTGTTGAGCACCATTACTAATAGAAAGCGGGTCCTGCATCCTTATATCACTTAGCACCAGTGGTGTGTCCACACATTTTTCATCATAAATATGCAAATTAATAATAAAAAACATAAACACAATAGGAGCTTCCAATTCAATCTTATTCTCGTCTTCCATGCTTCTTCAATCACCACCATTTTCTTCTTTACCCCCTACGTGTAATATCAACACAATTTTAGTGAAATGCAAAAAATAATGTAAGGTGCTGGTTGAAATGGCTAGGCCTTTGGTTTGCTCCCATAAGTTTATAGTTTTCTGCCTTTAAAAGATTGCATGGTTTGGCGGAAGGCTTCAGTTTCTAACTCGGGCTCACAAAGTGGGTTTGAGGGATTCCTAGGTATAAAAAAAGGTAATAAATTAATAACATAATTCACCATAATTAATTGTCAACTTATGTAAACCTTGCACCATGAAAATAGATTCAAGAAGTGAATCAGGGACCTTTTTATTAGGATCTGAGTTTTTCTTCAGTCTTTTCTATGCCGCTTGTAGTGAACTAGACTTTTATCTTTTCTGGAATGACTAGTTAAGTTTGTTGTTGTTGGATTATTTTTTTGGGTAATAACGTGTTTAAGTTTTTAACGCTTATTATGAGTATGAACCTTATATTTTAATAATTATCCTTTTTTTTTTGGTGAAATTTTTTTAATAGCATTCTCTTAAGGCTTAAGGCGTGAGGCGTCGCCTCACAAAGGCACAACGTCTTGAATTCCGATTGGGATTTTTAAAAGCTTGCATGAAAGAATGAGCTTGTGATGTATCTCACTGCTTTTTCTGTTGCCACATGTGGTTTAAGAGTGCAACACACATGAATAATTCTTATCTGTATGAGGCAAATTATTGGGTTTTTTTTTACTGCCAAGCAATTTAGACTCTTTGTCAATTGTGGAAAAAAATTACTGACACCATGGTTTACCAGGTCTCTTTCTAGTATCTAATGAACACATGATGGTTCGAACTACGGGTGTGTGTGTGTGTAAGAAACACAGCTTTATCCATGAACATACTCTTTTTTTTATCAAGGAAAAAAGGAAATTGGAAGGAAACACGAGTTAAATAAAGTTGTTGAAGCAAAGTAATAAGTTTGTAGATAGCTCTTCGGTATAATGCACAATGATATATCAACACACAAGATGGAGAATAGTTGTATTTGAATGTTGCTTGCATAATGAATGATGCTCGTACTACAGATTTTTGGTCCTTTCTCCAATCTCACATGTTACACGATCTTTCCCAATTGGATGTAGTAGTAGTATTTTTCATCTAAATTACTAGTCTATTTTACTTTTCTATATACATGTGTATTATAGTTTTCTAAGACATACATATGGTCCTCAGATATGCTTTTTAGATTTTCTAGGTCCTTGTGTGTTTGCTTTCTTTTGTCCCTTATATTGTAGTTCATAGGAGCGTCTCCTTTTATAAACAGATTCTCGTGAGATCAATGTTTCTATCTGTATGTTGGTTTGTGGAATGATATATTTGTCTTCTTGGGCACTTTCTTGATCTTTTTATTAACATGCAGGATCTGCGGCCGGAGTATAAGCTTTTTGGTACCATTGTTCATTCAGGCTTCTCACCTGAGTCTGGACATTATTATGCATATATCAAGGTATGCCATGCCCTATTAAATTGATAAGCGCGAGGAAAACATAACCATTTCCTGACTTTTTTCTCTATTTTTATTGTCAGGATGCTACAGGGCGGTGGTACTGTTGCAATGATACATTTGTCTCGCTTTCAACCATGCAAGAGGTGTTGTCAGAAAAGGTTTACATTCTTTTCTTCTCTCGGACCAACCAAAGGCCGGAATCTGCCAACATTCCTCTTTCTAGCACAATCTCTAACGGAGTGAAATCTCGAGATTGCAATGGCCATGATGCATCTAAAAGCCTGAAGCCTGCTCTTCACCTGAAGGAAGTGCATGCAAAGCCATGTGAACAACCTTCTAGAAAGGATTTGATAACTGCGTCTAAGGCTGATAAAGTGCCTTCCCATCCACAGATTAAGTTTAATATAATTGGAACCTCTAATTCTAAAAGGCCTTCAATCAGCAATGGAAATGGAAAAGTTTTCAAGAATCAGTCCATGGAAGCTAATGGGGGTGTAGAAGAGGCTAGTCGTTTGGAGATACTAGAGAAAGCTAAGTCAACATTAGTAAACAAAAATGGTTTAGACAACAATGGGAACGTTGAAGGTATTGACAGTCAGAGGACCGAAGAATCTGTTTCAACAAAAGGATCTGGAAATTATCCGGCAGGAAAGCTGGATACTAACGGAAGTAGAGTTACAAGAGACGAGTTGCCAACAGGAAGAGAGTCTGATCACCGGGATGCAGTTAATGATGGTATGGAATTCCATGATAAGGTGTCTGGGTCCAAAAGAAGACCATCAGAAAATTCTTGCATTTTGTTGGCAGAGGATGCTCAATCTCGGGGAAAAGTTGAAGATCTGAAGGAAGTGTAAGTATACCCTCAATTGTTCAATTTAAACTGTTCTCTTCTCTCTTGCACGTAGTTTGTGGAGTTTCTTTTTATCTGGCTCAAGTACTTGGACCAGACCAAGAAAAAATTTATATCTAAAAAAAGGTAAAAGGACCAAGAAAAAATTTATATCTAAAAAAAGGTAAAAGAGGGTTTCCATGTTCAAATTCAGTAAATCCACACACACACACACACACACACACACATACATATGTACTGCTTACTCAAGTCCCAATGAAGATCAAGCAATATTTCTTTGATTCATTCTTTTTTTTTTTAAATTTATTCTCTGTTTTCTTTATTGGATTTTTGATTTCTTATATTTAACTATCGGTGAATAGAGGCATAAACTAAATGAAATGTGAAATATCTTGAATCTATTTTTCTTCAAACGATGAATGTGCTTGTTAGTTATTACTAATAAAATGCCAAAATTATTATCAGAAGGGGGGAAAAGCACTTGTTTACCCTCCTCATTATCCTACTGTCTTCATGTCTGTCTGCTGAAGTCTGTCTGCTGAAGTCAAGCATACTCAAACTCCATTAAGTTTTGCAAAGGGAGAAAAGTAAAAGGGAAATATATTCTCCTCAAGGCGACAAAATTAAATGTCTTGAGCGAGGTCGAGAAATATGGATATTAATCATTCCAAGAATTTATAAAATTTCGCTGTTGGTTTTCTTTTAAGTGAGGTTAATTTTGACTTCTAGTAATTGGGTTCTCATGTCTAGCCTCTTTAAGTTGCTGTTACATTCGAGGAGGTTCATGTCTTTTTATCATGCTCATTTGTTACTGTTTTTGCTTGATTCTGGTGGATGTCTCGTCCATCTTTCCTTGAGGCAGCTTTTTATTTCAATTGAATAAAATTTACAGTTTATTATTATTATTATTATTATTGTTGTTGTTGTTGTTGTTGTTGTTATTGTTGTTGTTCTTATTTTTTTAATCATGTTCCTTTGTGCTGCATCTTGAATTCTTTTGAGTTGGTAATTGCTCATGTGTTATGGCATATTTTGTGGAGTCCAAGGTGCACTTCTATGTTGAAATAATGATTCTACATTTTTCACCAATGCATGCATTTATTTTTATTCTAACTTGGGTTCTGTAGCAGCCTGCATGAATATTATTTACAATTTGTCCTATATTTCAGTCTGAAGTTGTTTCTGTAATGAGGTTGCTCATGTTTGTTTTCCTGTTTTTCTTTCCTTTTCTTTTATTAGACTCGCGAAAGAAGCTTCGTCAGTTTTGAGATCGTGTGGTTGGTCAGATAAGGTTTACAATTTCATGGGTTCAGGGAAGAGGCTACGTACACAGGAAGCCGGAACCACTCCATTGACTAGAGATGAACTAAGGTAAGATATTCTTTAGTTCTCATCGTTTTCTATTTCTTCTTTGGTTGGAATGTTTTCATGTGGTTTCGATACAAAGGAAACGTGATAAATTCTTCTAATTACATATTTCTTCATCATGAATAGTAGATCTGTGGTAATTTATAATGCTGCGTAGGATTAAGTTGCAATGAACTAAGTCAAAGTAAATACTCTGCTATTATGCAGTTTATCTGGGTATGAAATTTGGAAATCATACGAAGTATGAATTTTTGGATATTAGAATCTATGCTGCGAATATGTGCGATGACCAAGTTTATTTGTTTGATTCTGTAGTAGATGAATGCTATTAAGTTCATTTGTTTCATAAGTTTGATAACAGGCCTGTAGAGACTTTAGAAGCTGTCCTTTCACCCTGTTAGGGATAACTCTGGAGGATATTTTTCCCCCTTATATTTAAGGCGTTTATATTCTTAATTATTTATGTACCAAGGTAGGTAAATATTGGACGTGCCATTGATTGTAAACACACAAACTTCAAAATCTGATTGGAGTGTGCCCCGCCTTGATTAAAGTGCTTCACTGTGTCATTTTCTTTTTTCTTGGTCTATAACCCAAATCGGTTATTGAATGCTAGTCTGTAAAGTATTGGAAGTGTGGTAGCTTAAGTTCGTTGTCGGAAAACATGTTGTAGTATATGTAAAATTTCAAAGTTTGGTGGCTTATGTTCAATTAATGCCCTATTATTTGCAATTGATGTTTAGACACATTGAATCCGGATGTTACAAAAGCTATCAGCTATGGTTTTATCTAAATGGCATACAAGATTAGACTTAAGTTGGGATTCGGCTTGATCTGCACCTATTTTGACCTATTGATGGCCCAAGTCTTATTCATTTGTTACTACTATAATGCAGGAAGTTGTTGATTGTGGACGCCAAGTCCACTTTTATTTCAAAGATACCAGAGTCTTTGAAAGAAGATCTCATCAAACGCCTTCAGTCGTTTAGCAAAGACAAATGATGTTTCCCAGGTAATCAACTCTGAATCAGCTATCTTGGAAACCATGGTTTTATTTTAAGGTCTTTTTGTGCGTAGTCTAAATTAGAAATGTCCTGATGTCATATGTATATATATATATATATATTTTTTATTTTTATTTTTTCAGTATAGATTTGCACATTCTCCTGACTTCTATTGCTGGAGGGGCTTGGTGTATAATCTGTATTCTGTATTGCTGAATGGTATTATAAAGTTTTGAGCCAAAAAAATAAAAGGCAAAAACAAAATAACAAACAGAAAAGAAAAAAAAAGGTGTTACAGACTTGGTGCTATCCTCCTCCAGCTATAAATTTGGGACAATGCAACATATGAAGTCTTTCAGCAGACGCTATGGTCAGCTAATGCATTTTGTTGATGTGCTTTATCGGATCGGGATGGAAGGCTGACCGCCGAAATCAAATGTTACCGAAGATTTTCTTCCCCACTTTGAGGCTTATGCAGTTTGTAATGGCAGAGAAATGAGTCAGCGAATTCTATTCATTCTGTACAATATCCATTTTGGCAGTATACCTTAGCCTGTAGGCCTAAATTTGTGGATGTATTGCCATTTTTAGTTATTAATGAGAAAAATGGTAAAATTGAGCTCTCTACTAGGAATTTTCTGTTAACCAATTTAATTGATAATCTTCATTCCCATTAAAAAAAAGGAAAAAAAAAAACTAGCCATGGTTTTTATTATTATTATTATTATTATTATTATTATTATTATTATTATTATTTTTACATTTGGAAGCTGCTTATCGGCCAGTCATTCTCTTTGCTTTTGTATTTTTTTTTTTTTGATTTACATTTTTGTCTATCTTACCTTAAAGGCTGGCCATTCTATTAATAGGGAATTATTATGTTTGTACTTTGTATTTGAGCGTATTTGTTCAGACCAGCCACCAGGTTTATGTGCTCAGTGGAATGGAGAAGACTCAGGTGTGGTTTTTTCTTTATTATTATTATTATTATTATTACTACTACTATTGTTGTTGTTATTATTATTATTATTATTACTACTATTATTCTTTATGGCAAGCTGCTTCTCTGTTAGTTTTTCATTCAACAGCAATAACCTAACCACCTACCCTGAAGTTTAATTATCGTGGTGAAAAAAAACAAGAGTGATTGTTGTTTGCTTAATTACCTTTCATGTTTCTTTCTCAAGCTTACTTGCATGCATGGAAGTACCCAACAAATAGACGTCGATGTCTGATGAAGAATTCGGCATTTCAGTCATGCTATCATTTTTTTTAGAGCCTAATTTCACCAGTAATTTTGACATGTTAGCGTATTTGAATGATTTTTTTTTAATTTATTCCAACACGAATTAGGCCAAACCCGACTCCGCCGCCGGCAATGTGGACTACAAAGTGACACCAAGCAAGGAACCTCTTTTACCTCACCTCAGGCTGCCAGCCCCAACCTCGGCGACCATTACACACATCAACTGGTCCTCTAGTGTGTGTACCCTTTCAAGTCCCTGAAAACTAATGTCTACAGATGAACAACATTGACATTGTCATGAGAATGTACAACAATCACGCCATAGTTAAATTCTCCGCTTGTCATGTGCTATAAACAGTGACCACTCTAATTGGATTGGAAAAGGAGGCAAATATTTCTTGTTTAGATTTTTACTTTTTACTCTTATTAATATCTTTTTTAGTCAAGTAATAATATTGGTTTGGGTGTTAATTAAGAGTAAGATGTAAAAATTCAGATCTATGCACTCTACGGGTAAGTTCAATAATTTTCTCTAGAGGTGTTGAAAAAATCCGCCAAACTGAGAAAACTATCCAATCCAAATCAAATAGAACCAAATCATTAATTATTTTTAAATTATTGAGCAGTTTAGTCGGTTTTTTAATCTAATTTTTATGGGCTGTTTGGTTTGTGGTTTAGACTTCTTAAACCGTCTAAAAATATACATATATAGTTTTTTAATTTTTAAAATATTTTTTATATTTATTTTTGTTTTTATTAGTCATAATAAAAATTCTATACTTATAAAATACACCCTATCATATTTATATTGCTTTGTATTAAAATTTTAAATGGTAAACTTTTATACATTTGTTATTTTTGAGTTATATTGTAAACTTGAATCTTATTTTTTTTTTATGGTTTAACAGTTTTATAATTATTATGAATGATTGAAAATTTTTTTAATCTTAAGTTCAAACCGGCCAAATCAAACCGTTCAAATCGCATACGAGTGATTTAGTTCAATTTGATTTTTGTTAAAAAAATCAAACCCTAAACCTCAAAAGAAAAAAATTAATTTTAATTTAATTAGTGATTTCTAAAAAAAAAAAAAACAATAAAGTGACTTTTTTTTTGTTTTTTTTTTCTTTTGTTTCGGCTAGTCAGACTTAAATAAAATTCTAGCATGCGAGTTTGTGCAAAGAATTTTGCCAAGCTTAAGATTTAAGAGGAAGTCTGACTGTCAATTCAAAAAATTCACGGGGACAAAAGAGGCCAAATACTTTCGTCGATATATTTCGGAGAACAACATACTTTTACATATTTTTTAAATTATTAAAAATAGAAAACAATATATTTCTTATGCTGGTAATAAATTGCATTTTCGAAATTTTAATCTTCATGTTATTCTAATTTTTACTTTTTTAAAATTTCGTTTTTTGTTTTTTTTGTTCCGCCCTCTTTTTTTTTTTCATTCTCTTTTTTTTTTTCCCATCTTTTTCCCAAATTTCTGCCATTAATTTTGGGCTTGTTCTTTTGATGTTTTTGAGTTAGGTAATTTGAGTATAGATTTTTGAGCCCGTTAATTCGTTGATTTGAGTTTTTAATTCGAGTTGAGATGTGATTTTATGTGATAGCTTTTTACTGTAGCAAAAAAGTTAGATGTGACTGTTTGTAAGAGCTTTTTACTGTAGCAAAACTCGAATAAGCAAAATGAACGGGGGATGGTTGTGTACATTTGAGTTATGATTTGAGATAAGAATCTTTTTTGAGTTTGTGTTTGAGTAAGTCAAAACTTGAATTTATATTTAGATAGTATTTTAATAAAAACTCAATGCTGATGAAAAATTTTAATAGGGTATATGGGTCTAGTTTTATTCGTCTTTTCGTTGTCAACGCATAGAAAAAAAATCATCTCAATCAGAATTAAAATGAAAAAGTTATAGCATTTTTAAGAATATAAAAAATATTGTTCATTAATATGAGTTCAAGTTTCTGAACTCGAGTTAAAGGGAAAACTTGAACTCGAGTTTTAGTTCCAAACTCGAGTTTAAACTTAAAAGAACATGAACCCGAATAAAATTGTAACTCGAGTTGTCTTTTTTTGAGTTTTTCACTCAAAAACCACTCTGCCGAACAAGGAGTATCTCAACAACATAGCAGATCCGGATATACATAATTTTTGTTTTGTTTTGTTTGTTTGTATACTAGCATTCATCCAAATTTCTACATTCAATTTCTATTTTTTCCCCAAAATTATACATTGTATTTTAAGGGTACGAAAAGATGATACTTTATATTTTGAACTGTATCATATTTATACCATTATATTTTTAATCTATACTCAATTCATACATTTTTCTTGAGTAATGGTCAATTTTAACTAAAAAAAACCTAAAAACTCTTAAAGAAAAAGAGTTAATATCATAATCCTCAATCTCATTTTGGTCCATAACATTTCAAATGTCACGTATTTGGTTATGAGGTTTTACTATGTTTTAATTTTAGTTCTTTCGTTGACTAGGTGTTAAATATTTAACATAAACTGTCTAAATTTGAGACCAAAATGGAAAAAGCTAAAATTTAAGGACTATTTGTACAAATAAACTTTTATTTTTTGTATTGTTTTAATCCCTAAACTTTAGATGTTTCCAATTTTAGTTCTTAATTTCTATATATTTTGTCAAATATTTAATACCTAACTAACAGAATGACCGAAATTGAAACAAAGTAAAACTTTAAAGACCAATTGTGTGACGTTTCAAAAGTCAGAGACTAAAGCGAGATAAAAGATAAACCTCAAGGACCATTTGTAGAATTAACTTAAGAAAAATTTAAAATTTAAAATTAAAATGTGAAGAATATTTTAACCAATTTTACAATCAAAATCAACCTTAATATGAAAAGAAAAGTAAGAATTTAGTTTCAGATTAAAATATTAAATTTTTTTGAACCAGAAAACACAGCTGTAAAAAAAAAAGAAAAAAAAAAGGTTCAATCCCACAGGGAGACCTCACTCGCTGGAACAACTTAATATGATATTTATATATAAATGTGTAATGTGTTATGCACGAGTGGAGACACTAAAGAATTTATTATTTACTAAATAATGAAAAATATATATTTTTAAATTTATTTTAAAAAGAAATATTATAATATTTGTAAAAAAGAACTTTTATCTCTTTTATATATTGTTAAATTAGATTAAATATTAAAATATATATTTTTTGAGTAATGTTAAAATAATTTGTAAAGTCATATTTTATTTTCTTTCAAGAAAAAAAAAAGAAGTTCAATTCCCCAAGAGAATTTATAGCTGCTCAACTCACTCCCTCCCTCTCCAGCCCTCAAATTCCATCTCTGCCTGCTTTCCAGAAAGAATCACCAACAAATCCAAGACCCAATCTCTCTCTCTCGCTCTACAAATATGGTAATCTCTTAATTTCCCTCGTTTTCTTTCTTCTTCTTCTTCTTGATGATTTGAGAAATTTAGGGTTTGTATTTGTGATAATTGTTATTGCAGTTGTTCTTCTCGTACTTCAAGGAATTGGTGGGGAGAGAAGTGACGGTGGAACTGAAGAACGATCTCGCCATTAGAGGAACTCTTCACTCCGTGGATCAGTATCTCAACATCAAGCTCGAGAACACTCGTGTTGTCGACCAAGACAAGTACCCTCACATGGTATCTATTTATCTTATCTGTCACCTTTTTTTTTTTTTTTTTTTTTTTTAATTATTAATGCTGAAACGAAGAGAGAGAAACCAACAGAAGAAGTTTCTAGGGTTTAGGTTTTGGTTGATTTTTGCGTAGAATTACAACTTTGGAATAGGATTCAATGGGCTTGTTTGGCTGGGTTTTTGCTGCTTCTTTTTCCCCAGTAGAAGAAGGGAAGTAAAAGATGTGGCTGTTTTATTATTATTATTATTATTTTTTTATCGAATTATTGCTAAGAAGACGAGGGGAAGTGGAAGTTTTTCTGGGTTTAGGTTTTTATTGATATTTGCATAGAGTGGAACTTAGAAATTGTTGTAGAATCCACTTAGCTAAATTGGCAGGGTTTTTGCTTCTGCTTTCCTATAGCAGAAGAACAGAAGTGAAAAATATGGATTTTTGTTCGAACTAATGCTTAGAAGAAGAGGGGAAATGGAAGTTTCTGGGGGGTTTAAGTTTTTATTGATATTTACATACAGGGGAACTTGGAAATTGGAATAGGATTCACAGAGCTAATTGGTGGGGTTTTTGTTTCTTCTTGTTTACAGTACAACAGTAGAAAAAGAGAAGTAAAAATAATAAAATGTGTAGTTTTTTGTTCGAATTAATGCTTAAAAGAAGAAATAAACGAAAATTATGGGGTTTATGGTTTTGTTTAGCACAGAATGTAACTTGGAATAGGATTCATTGGGTCTCTTTGGCAAGGATTTCACTTGTCCTCATATGTAGAAGAAGAAGAGAAAGTAAAACTTGTAGCTTTTTGTTTGAATTCATGCTAAGAAGAAGAGGGAAAATAAAAGTTTCTGGGTATAGGTTTTTGTTGATAATTTCATAGAATAGAGCTTAGAATGGGATTCTCATGTCCTGTGTGGTAGGTTTCGGTCCTGTTTTACAGTGGAAGAAAGAAAGTAAAAGATAAAGATTTTGAGTTACTTTACATAAAAGTTATGGAGCAGCTTTTTTAAGACGTAAAGGAGAGGAGATTTTTCTTTGATCATCCATTAATAAAAATGCGGGTTTGATGTGTGTTTATTGTAAAATATGGGTTTGATTGCCGACACATTATGTGTTTGACTGTTATGGTATAGAAATGTGGGAATGGGTTTTGTATACACTATTATTAATCTTTCCTTGTCTTCTCTTGAATGGGTTTCATTCATCTTTTCAATCGAAGGGCCATTTGCTCTTAGTTTTATTGTGTAACAAATTATAGGACCATGTAGTTTGGGTGCACCATGAAAGTGTATTGTGGTCTGATTTGAAGATGTCCCCACCTGGAGTAATATTCCATCTGGAAAGAAGTAATCCTTATTAGAAAGGAGCGTACTAGAAAAAAGGAAGTGGTGACTTCGAATTGCAGTGCAGAGTTTAGTATGAGGGGAACAAATCCTCCGAAGCCAATGAATATGGTGGAATGGATCAGGTTATTTCAGTGAGACATATAAGGATATGTAGTGTACACAAGCCTGGTCGGTGCGGGAAAGAAAAAGAAGCATGATTTCTTCTTCTTCTTCTGCTGCTTCATTTTGTCCCCGAAAATAGTCTCTTGTCAAATTTGAGTTATTATGTTGGCCGTGTGCAGCAATGAATGAAAATTAGTCCGATATGGTCTTGGAGAGTGAGTTTGGGTTGGTTTGAGTCATTAGGAAATAGGTGTTTCTATGCAGTAGCCAGCAGCTATGGAGTTCTCCAAGGACTCTACTGAAATTTGGAAAATAGATACAATATTGTGCATAGTTCACATGCTGCCATAGAATACATTTTTTTTAATGTTTATTTTGTAAGGTCTAGTTATAGCGTTTTACCTTGTTTTATACATTTTATAACGTTTCTGTTATATCTGAACTGAACTCTCTTGGATTTGATAACATGCTCTCGTTTCAATCTAACAGGATTCAATTTATTCGATTGATTTATTTATTTTTCATGTCTTACAGCTGTCAGTGAGGAATTGTTTCATTAGAGGGTCAGTTGTGAGATATGTTCAGCTACCCCCTGAAGGAGTTGATGTTGAGCTACTCCATGATGCCACCAGAAGGGAAGCCCGCGGCGGCTAAGCCGAAGGATAATCCGATTTTAGTCTCTGTTGGTCAACCTTCCTTTGTTAGGCTTAAACTGGCATTTAAGTTTGAAGTTGAACTCACCAAAAGCTGGAAAGAACTGCTTTTTCTTGCACATTTGTATTTGTCTGTCCTGTCCTCGTGTCAAACTTATTAATATTCTTGACTGGAGAGGGGTTATTGTTTTTTGGGAACCTCTCTAAATGCTCTCTAATTGCGTGTTAATGCGAATTTAATGAATTGTTTACCAAACAAAGACATTGTAAACAAGTATGACTCGTGATAAGAGGCATCACTCTTTTTATTATTTTTTGCTTTGACATGTGGAGTGTACTAACACGATATATCATTATTTAAACAGAAAATAAGATAATTAAATTCACTTATCAAATAGTAAAAGTTGAAAGTGACAAAGAAGACGATAAAAAATGTGATGTTAGCATTTCTCATCGTAATAATGATCCAACACTTGCAATTAAATACTCCATTTAGAAATTGAAACCTGCTAAATGTCAATTTTCCACTTCAATCATTCTTCCGTTTTGAAACTTGGGATTCCCGAGGAATTGGTTGAGTCGCTGAAGTAGTAGCTAAAGTAGTTGTAGGCTTAGTTTGGTATTGCTCTTTCCTTCCAAAATCAATTTTTTCTTGTAGCAGATACTAATTTTAGTGTTTGATAAATCTGTTCAAAAGTGTTTTTTGAAGAATTTTTTAATAATCTACAGCTAAAATTAGAAGCAGTCTAAAGACAACTTTAGCTTTTAGATTGTGTGGGAATCAGCATAGTACAATTAATGAAACTTTCATAATACCAATAATACTCCTAATGAAATTTAAAATTTACAATTTTCCCAAAATCAAATTCAGACTCATAATATAATATAATATAATATAATATAATAGTTATATTGTAACAAATAATATCATAATTATATTAATAACTATAATATTATTATTTTATCATATAATATGATATTATAATAATATTATAATTATTTTAATAATATGATATTATAATTATAATATGATATTGTAATTATTATTTTATAACATATTATATATTATATTGTATTGATATAATTAAACTTATTATATTAATAATATTACAATAATATTATTACATTATATTATATTGATATAATTATATTTATTATAATATGATAATATAATTATAGGCAAGTAAATATAATAATAATTATATATGATATTGTAATTATATATATTATATTATAGTATAATATAATATAATCGTAATTTTTAATTATTTCAGTTATTATTTTAATAATATTATTATATTCTATATCATAATTATATAATATATTCTATAATAATAGTTTTTTTATTATATTAAATATAATAATAAATATATATTATATTGTAATTGTATATATTATATTATAGTATAATATAATATAGTTGTAATTTTTAACTATCCACATAAATTCAACCTCATAATTTACCAAACGCTATTATACTGATTTTGGAACTAGCACAGTTACTATAATTATAGTTTACCAAACACTCAATTGCTTTTTGTAATAGCTACTTCTTCCTTCAGCACAGCTAAACGTAATTTTTCTAAACTCTACAGCACTACCAATCTAAGCCATAGTGTATGAACACTCTAGCATTATTTAAACTAGACTAGAAAGGAGTTAATCCTTGCCTTTAAATCTTCATGAGCAGCCTCTGTCACGAGCTGCTCAAAAGAAACTGGCAGAGAAACTTGAAGGACATGGATTTCACATTTAATCTAATATAATTAATTCAAACTATCTTTAAAGCATACAAATTGTCTGCAAAATTAACGAGTGTGCGCGCATGGGAAGAATGGTATGGTAGAATAGGGCTATTTGCTGTGAACCACAGATTTCTCATCATTTGTAAGTTGGATCCTACTTTTTAATTTAATTAATTAATTTTTTTTTGAAATTTAAGACCCTTAATTTGACAATCTTGGCATTGACAGACGTCAATTAATAAACAGCAAAAATTATGGGCAGTTGTTCATTAATTGATTCGTTAGCCATTTACGATGATTTTCAAATTTAAGATCATATTTGTCTGATCTGAAAGTTCGGAGTTCAAGTTGCCCAATGTGCACAAGTTAAGGGTGCACCTCCGCAAAGAAAACCATGCCATAATACTCATTTACGAAATCCGGTAACAAATCTCTGGATTCCGGCAAAATCAGGCACTATGTTTACATTACAAAAACAATCCCCAGCATCAGTTTCCATGTACTCAACAAGATGCTTGCATTGCTGCTCACCATTTGTCTGCAAATTGATAGAAATGAAAAGGAGACGAGATTATAATAAGCAATGGCAATACTAGAAGATGACTGCGCATTTTAGCATGATTGAGCAAATAAAGAACTTTTCAAATGTACCTTGTTCAAAAACATCTAGAGTTTTTCCTTTCTTCCAACACAACTTTTCTATTATCTACAGTTGAGTTGGAAAAAAGAAAAAAAACATTTAACTTTGTGGTCAAATAATCCTGCAAGTTGTCCGGAGGCTCAACGAGCAATCAAAAAAAACATCTGGTGGATGTAACTTTTCAATACTAATTGACCCAAGAAATTCTTAACCATGCCATAAACCGAAAGAACATATATATTAAGTACGAATATTATTCATTTCTTATACATCTTTGCATCTGCATAAGGAAAAAAAGTGCAGATTCAGAGAGCAGAACAATGTAATGCCAGGCTAGAGTTATTATATAACAAAATCAGGGGCACACCTATTTTATGCAAACATCAAACAACTTCGAAGTTCTCACCGAGGACTTTCAACTAAAATAATGATCAAAGAATCATCATTAAGCACAAAGCTTAAAGCACCAAATAAAATCATCATACACATATTCGTTAACAGAATTTTTATTTTATGACCACTAATTTTGGCTAATTATAGATTCTTTATGCAATCAAGGTTTTTTTATTTCCAAGAAAACAGAGATTATGTTACCTCAAAAGCGAAAAATCCACCAGACTTCAACATCGAACCTGCCCCTTTGCAAAGGCGTAAGAGGTCATCCATGCCATTAACACCACCATCTAATGCAATTCTTGGTTCATGCCTGCCCACTTCTGCTTGTAGCCCAGAAATATTGTCACTTGGGATGTAAGGCGGATTACTTACAATCCCTGCAACTTTACCTTCCAGATCCTTCAATGGTTCGAACCAAGATCCTTGCCGTAACTCAACTACATCCTAATTGAAAATAGAAAGGTAAAGCTTGAGCATGTAACAGTCAAAGAATCATGTTTCTTTCAAGTACCAGGGAACAGAAAGGAACTCTCCTAATTTGCAAGTTTTTCATTATTCTCTATGGAAAAACAAAATAATGAGAATTGGAGTTGGGGGTTTTAAACTTTTTGTGGAAAAGAGAAAAGGGAAGTGTGCATGGAAATATCAAACGTATTAAAAAATCATATCATACAAAATAATATCTTGGTGCCAACAATACTGTTGAATTTACCACACCTTCTCTTTGATTTGCTTTTTATCTCACAAACAGACACACACTAAACTAAAAACCATAATTTTTTATTCATTATTTTAATAGAACAAAGAAAGGGCCACCAAAATCAATTTTTGAAGCAAATGAAAAATCAAACGCTAATAAATTTCAGAGAATGTAATCTCTAAAACGACTGACCTGCAGACCATACCTCTGCACATTGAAAGCCGCCACAGAAAGCGCCAAAGGGCTTAAATCTGTTGCAATGGCTCTTCCCAAACTCTCTAACATCATCCCAACTCCAATAGCAATTGCACCACTCCCAGTCCCCAAATCCACCCACAATCCTTCTCTCAATCCTTCGTTATCTGAAACTACATCGGCAACCAAATCAACAATCTGCTCGGTCTCGGGCCTCGGTATCAGAACCCCTTCTTGAACACACAACACCAAGTCCCTCCAATGCTCACACCCAACAATGTACTGAAAAGGTCTCCTCTCTTCAATCCTCTCCTTCCACAGCTTGTAAAGCTCGTCCAAGCTCACCCTTATTCCTACATTTCTGTCACACTTTTCGCTATGCATTAGCAGAGACACTGCTCGATCTTCTGTCACATCGTCCACGAGCCACTTGAGCTCTCTGCGTAAGAGGCTGGAGTCTGGGCCATTGTCTACATCCTCAAATGTGGTTCCCACAGAGGAAGCAAGACTTTTTGCCCACTCGTACCATTTGCACAGGTCCAACATGGCGACCATGTGCGTGGACGGCCTAAGAAAGAGTGGCATTCGAGGTTTTATATAGGCAAGTGGTGGTGGTGGTGATTTTACAGAAGAGCAAACGGATTGGTGGAGGTTGCGGAAAAGAGGTGGCTTAATAAACATGGTGAAATTTGACATGCCAAAGGCACTTATTAAACTTAGCTTCATGGCTTAGGGAGAATTTTTTTAATTTAATTTAATTTTTTTTTAATTCTATGTCTAAATTTTATACTCTAATTTTCATGCCTAGATAAGATAAACTCAAACCCACCTCCGTTCTTTGTCCATAAAACTTGATGTCACCTCTGAAAATACAATTTGTGTCCCCCCCAAAAAAAAAAAAAAAAAAAAAAAAAAAAAAAAAAAAGACAAAGGAAATTACTATCGACGAAATGACCATCCACATAAAGATGTTCAAATTAGACACTCATTTTCTTCCATACCAAAGGAAACTCCAAGTCCCATATCACATTTTGCACTAATTTTTACTTCTCGAAAGGATTTTTTGAGCAGAAAAAGGTTGAACAAGCTCTAAAAAATTCCCATGTTTATCAGAGCCACAAAAAAAAAAAAAAAATCTGTGCCTTTCGAGGTAAATTCAAAGCTACACACAGAAAATCAAAAATCAAAACTTTTCGGTCAATCACGACCTTATTTACGACTAAATTTTGTATTATCCACAAGCAGTAAAAGAAGTTGAGCCCACTATTAAACTTCGAATAAATTAAATTGATACTTTGAAAAAAAAAAACAATAAATAAAATCGAAGCTTCAGAAGAAGAATTTTAGAGAAACAAACCAAACAAAATGTGTGTGTCAATATGTATATATATATATATATATATACATATTTCAAAATGCTCAGAAGAAAATGGAAAGAAGCGGAAAGAGGAAATGAACTAACCTGTTCAGCGGCGAAGGTGGAGAAGAAGGTTTTGGCGGTTGGGGAGGAGGAGACTCTCACACCAAAACTTCCAACATAACACAATATACATACATAGGGCCGTTTGGGTTTTTTTTACCCCCTTTTTTGTTTTTTTTTTTTTTTTTTTTTTTTTTTTTTTTTTTTTATAAATTTAAGAAGTTAATTTGGTAAATCTTATTTTATCCGGTAGTTTCTACAATTAGTGTCAAATAACAAAATTTAAAAAGCATATTATGAAATACTCTTACGCAGCAATTTCTATTTTTATTATCTAAATTTATAAAGATAATCTTAATAATAAAATTTAATTTTTAATTTACTTATTTTATTTTTACGTACCAAATTAAAAAATATTTTAAAATAGTTATTTAAAAATTGAAAACTTTTAACAAGTATACTAAGCTAATTTTTTTTTTCAAATACTTTTAGTAATTATTAAAATGTTTAAACTAACAACAATAAATAAGAAATTTTTAGTAGATGAATAATTTTTTGCTATTAATAATTATTTTTAAGAAATATTTTAATTAATAAAATTAAAATTAAAATTTTATATTTTGAAATTGCCATAAAAATAAAATTAACTACATAATACTAAAGTATGGTTTTTTTTTTTTTGTCATGTCCATAACAATTCTTTATACAGTTTACTAAATACCTAAACTTCTTCTTCTCGCATTTACAACAGTTTTGTAAAAATATTTACTAAACACTAATACTAACAACATAACAACAATAAAATTTTTTAACAACACAATAATGTTAAGCTGCCCGTATAATAGTTTAGCCAAAAAAAGAAAAAGTAAATTAAATCGGATTTGATTGGACTCCAAGAAAAAAAATATTTACATAGAGACCCATTTAATAAAATTATTTTGGCAAGGCGATCAGTAAGAAAAAAGTATTTATTAGTGTCATATTGAAAAATATTATTTAAGTAGGAGTACATTTGGGAATATATATTTCAACATAGCAAATTAGAAAAGAAATAAGAAAACATAAATAAAAAATGACTGGAAATGCATTAATTCTCGTAACCATTTTTTTAAGATCATAAATCATTTTTTTTTCCCAAAATAAATTCCTCAATAAGTACGGGCACTTTAACATTAATTCTTGTAACCATTTTTTAATATAATTATCAAAAAAGATCCTTTAAAAGTAGCTTGTTGCAGCCATTCCTCCTATATTTTTCCTCTTTTTTTTTTCCCTCTATTTTCTCTATATATTATTGATTACCCTATTATTTCCTCCTTTTCTTACTCTGAATCACTATTGCATTTTTTTTATCATTATAGTGAAACTCGAGAACTCATACAGCCTACAAATTACAATCAAACCTCTGTAAATTTATATGTCCCTATTTTTATTTATTTTCTTGCACTTTATTTATTGTGATTACGTTACTGATCGTCCAAAAGCAGTCATTGACTCCTAAATTGCAGATTTCACCCTATACAACTATCATTATAGGTCCAACTAATAGTTTAAATTTCTAAAATATCTTAATTTTTCCTTTAATTAAGTAAGAAAAAGAAAAAAATAAAATATGAAATTAAGGGGTTATTCTTTTGCATTTTTGAGTTAAGGTGATTTGAGTGATGATCTTGAGTTAAGTTCGAGTTATAGCTTGAGTTGAAATTGTAACTTGAGTTTGTGTTTAGAAGTGCACATTTGAGTTATGATTTGAATTGAGAATCTATTTTGTGTTTGTGTTTAGGTGGGTCAAAACTTAAATTTGTATTTAGATAGTATTTTAATAAAAACTCAATGGTGATGAAAAATTTAATAGGGTATATGGGTATTATTCGTCTTTTCATTGTGAATGCATAGAAATAAAAATCATCTCAATCAGAATTAAAACGAAAAAGTTATGACATTTTTAAGAATAGAAAAAATATTGTTCATTAACTTGAGTTCAAGTTTATGAACTCGAGTTGAAGGGGAAACTTGAACTCGAGTTCAAACTCAAATTTTATAAAAAAACATGAACTTAAATAAAGTTATAACTCGAGCTCAAATTTTTTCTGAATTTCGTTGCAAAAAAACAACCCTAAATTGTCGGAAATGTGATTTGAAAACGTTCTCAACTTTTAAACGAGGCATTATGAGAGGAAACACATAAATACATATTAAACTCAAAATAAAAGAGGATTATTAATTGCTTTACAATTGCTCCAACCACATATTGATCGATTTATCTTCACTAATTTGATGCCTGAATTGGAGTTTGCAAGACAATATATACTCGTCTACGGCCTCGAATTAGGGTTTGCAAGACAATGGTACTCGTCTATGATATTCTGCAAGTGCCCACAATGGAAAAATATTTCTGTTTGCTGCATAATGTAGCATACAGTTCATCTTGAAAGCTCCTGTTATTTCCTGCCCATCAATTATCAGTTTTAGACAGTTAAAAACTAATTAGACAATTTATAGACTAATAAATTTCACTATAGTTCAGGAAAAAAAAAAAAAAAAGAAAACAAAATCACTATGAAAGAGAGACATTTATGACCGTGTTTGGAATTGATCCCGTTTTTATTTTTTTCACGTTTTTTTGAGAAAGAAAAAATAAAAACGTTTTTAAAACGGCATTTGACGTAATAAAGACAAAAAACAGAAATGAAAATGATTTTTTGATTCAGTGTAAAATGAGAGAGAAATGAAAAATGACTTTTAATCGTTTTTCATTTTTTGTTTTCATTTTCTCTTCTCTCGAGCAGAGAGAGAGAGAGAAAGAGAGACATTAATGTGTTTTTTTACACTAAAAAAATCTTTTGACAAAATTACCAAACGCATTTTTAAAAATAATTTATGTCTGAGATTGAAAACGTTTTCATTTTCATTTTCATATAAAAAATAAAATTATTTTGGAACGAGTTTTAAACGCGCACTATATATACCTGTTGTGGAAAATCACCATTTTCCATCTGAGAATTGATAATCAGTTTTGCTGCGCGGTGAAGAGGCGTTGGGTCTCTTTCTGCTTGTCCAGCATGTATGAGACCCATCATAGCCCATGCTGTATGCACTAGATTTGATCGATTTTCTGGAAGTGCCACATATTCCTGCATTATATATATAAGAAAAACATATATTCATACAAATTTGTAAAGGAGCTACATCTAGATATTAACTTAATTGAAATACACACATATGGATTTTTGCTGTTATTGGTCCATGTACTTTTCACAAAGTCATATTGGTCTTTGAACTTCTTTTTGACAGAGTGATTCTTAAATTAAGTTTTTTTTTTTTTGGCAGTTCTGGTCCCTAACTCTTGAATTAACAATGGAATTTTAACATTTAGTGAAGGTAATCAAGCTATCATGCTATGAAAACGTGATTGACTATGTTAAATTCTAATATCCATGATCAATTGATCATGTTTCAAAACCAAATTATTATTAAAAAAAAAAA